TTAATCATGTATGCGAGACAAACTCTGTTTCTTTTTGGACGTCAGATGGGGCAACCCTGTTGGCTAGTTAATTCGGTATGAGGTGCTTCGAACTCTTGATGACACCCTTTTGGGCTTCGTTCCTTTTCGACTCTTATACTGTTACCTTCAGGTTGCAGTCTTTCTCATCGTAACATTATAGTCAGTGGAAAAGATAAACGCATCAGTAAACATTACATACGATGAACATTTATATGTTTGAAACCCGTTCATTGCAAAATAACAGCTATAAAATGTTTAAAATCACACGTTCTTAAATATTCTAATTTTTTGATGTATAAAATACAAGTACAATTATTCTAAAATCTAGTTCACTTTTATTGACTTGTATTTTACGAATCCGCCGACATGACATGTAATAAATTATTGAAAAGGGAGTAACGATTATTGCTTGTCGAAAAAAAATAAACTGATCAATAAAAACTGCTAAAAAAGAATCTAATAATTATAATATTTTATGCATATACAGTTTCTGTATGTGATACCAGCAACTTTTGAATTTCGTGATGTAACCCGAGTATTTAATTTACTGCATGTTGAGAGAAGACAAGACATGTCAATCAAATCGTGGTAGTCGATTCGTCATTCCATAATGTAAAAATACACCGAAATGAATACCGAAGTTATTGATGGTTGGTATTAGGGTGCTCATGGTTTGAGTTGATCAGGTTGAATACATTTGAACAATCCAATCCAATGCTTGCGGTTTGAAAAATCTTAACCCAACTCAAACCAAAGTGCAACCCAACCCAACCCGTACAGGTTGGTCGGGTTGATACTTTGGTACATTAAAATATTATTCTAACATTGAATATGTTATTTCTTTAATCATAATTTCTTTTTCATCATCAACCATTTGATACAACTTATCCATATTTATTACGTACATCACATTAAGTTAATTTTCTCAATTTATATATATACACACACACACACACATATATATATATATATATATATTCACAGTTGCTGAACATATATATAAATGAGTTATATAGATATGTGAATAGATTGAAAATATGTGTATATGAAAAACATACATGATAATGTAATTGTCTAATGCATATATTAATAAAATTCATCAATCATATTAAATTCAAGAAATAAAATGATATCGGGTTCATTGGGTTGGGTTGGTTGGGTTCATCGGGTTCAAGTAATAATAATCCAATATTAACCTAATACCTACAGTTTGACAATTTTACAACTCGATTAGACATCGGGTTGGGTTGGGTTAATCGGGTTTTTGAGCATCCCTAGTTGGTATGATACTGTTAAATTTTTTAAACCAAATACACTCATATTTTTAATCAGTTTACTCAGAAACCCGATATATATATATATATATATATATATGTATATGCATATAGGGGCCTAATCAAATGAGAACTAATTAGTTTGTGGTAACTGTGAGAACCAATATTAACCACAAGTCAATAGATAAATTAGGAAATTTATAATTTTGGCAATTTTGAATTAAAATTTTAATGCAAGGATATTTTTGGTATTTTACAACTTTCCTCCCTCCTCTCTTCTCTCTCCGGCCACCGTCCTCCGACCACCGTCCTCCGGCCACCGTCCTCCGGTGATACTACAATGGTATCACAATGCATCATATATGTGCTTGGGTATCACATTGATGTCGTTTGTGTGGTCGATCGAAGATGTAACACAGTGGTATCACTATGCATTTTATATATGATTAGGTATCACAATGTATCTTTTGTTTAACAGAGTCAATATTTTTACGTATCACAGTGGTATCATAGTGGTATAGGACGGTGGCCGGAGGCCGGAGAACGGTGGCCGGAGAGAGAAGAGAGGAGAGAGGAGAGTTTTAAAATAACAAAAATATCATTGCATTAAGATTTTAATTTAAAATTACCAAATTTGTAAATTTCCTAATTTATCTATTGATTTGTGGTTAATATTGGTTCTCACAGTTACCACAAACAACTCAGTTCTCCCTTGAATAGGCCCCTATGCGCGCGCGCACACACACACACATATATATATATATATATATATACATGCATACATATACAAAAAAACATATTTTGTTTTGTCAAAAAAGGTAAAATCAGTCCTCTGTTAATTATGATAAAATAATGATAAACATATGGATTATTTAAGGTATTTATTAAATAATAAACACATAAATACAAAAGATATATACTAAGATTAATATAAATTGTAAAATCTCGAGTTAAGAATTGGGGTCTCGCAATCACTATTTTATCTCATGTTTTTTTTCGTTCATGGTTCGATATTCTGGTGTTCTAGAAGCAGATGAATCACACCAACAAACTGTAGTTCGAAGGAAAGTGTATTATAAAAGATACTTATATAAAATACTGTACTGTAATTTGAAATACAGTTTAGACACATTTCTATTTTATTTCCTATATTGATCGCAGTAAAATCTTACATAACAGGATAACAAGTTACAAATTACAGTTTTTTCTTCTTTTTTAAAAAATAATAATTTTATTCACAATTTAATAAATTTCTTATTATATTTTTTTCCCTAAAAAGTAATAATTTATTATTATATTCCTCAATAAGGATAATGAAACTTATGCAAAATTATTAATATTTGATTTATTACTATTATTGACCAAAAAAGTAATTTTAAATTAAAAAGATATCCCTTTTAGGGTTTCTATCCATTTGTATTTGTTTTTATTGTAGCTTTTAATTTTTTCATTTTCCTTATTTAAATAATCATCAATAATTATATCTAACTTTATAAAATTAATTCAAATGTAGGTCTGTTCATCTGTTGATATCCATTAGATATGCGGGGAATCGAACCGATCCAATAATTTATTGGATCTTGGATTTTGACAACCGATCCAATCCGGTTAACATTAGATGACCGATCCAATCCAATGAATGATCTGATGAAATTAGATCCGTTTAGTGTGTTAATTCAATCCAATTCTCTAACAATAAGTCATCTCATAATTTTTTTTTTCAAAAAATTGATTAAAATCTATACTATATTATAAAACATTTGACAAAAACTTTTAAAAACCATTTTTTATGCGTAAAGTACTGTTTATTAATGCATATTACTTAAAACTCAAGATTATAAGTAGATTGTGCATAAGTACAACTTATTAAAGCTCCAAATCTAAATTCGTATAACTAACTGTAGATAAAAACATAATCAAATACAAGATAAACATATCATTTTAAATATAAAAATCTAAAATATAATTAGGATAATCATTGAGTTCTAACAAAATACTTAATTATTATATCTATAGAATGTTATATTATTAAACCAAAAATAAAAAAATGAATTAAAAAAATATACAAAAAGGAGAAATTTTAAATGGTTAATTTAGTAGTAATATCAATATATTTTTTTAATTTTTTATGATATCTTCATATTTATATTTTATTTAAAAATAAAAACATTATCGTTTTTTCAAAATCATATAAAACCGTATTATAACATTGACTAAAAAAAAAAACACAAAAAATAAAAATATATTTCACTACATTGTACAAACATCCTCCTAATAATAATAATAAATGCATACAACTAAAAACCATTAATTATTTAAAGAGGGAATTTGGATCACTCCCACAAAATGTATAAACAAGCATGGGAGAGACTGGCGATTGCCGCTAAAACCGCAATGAAGTGAATCTTGCAGATATAAATTCCCTTTGCATTCCATCCGCCATCGCTAGATCCCAAAGAACACCCACAACTACTTTACGTCTTCAAGACTTTTTATCCCAGATTTTTGTTCTTTTCTATCGCAATTTGATTTAATTTAATCATAAAATCTTGCATAATTTATGTGGGTGATTCATCATTTCTTTATAATTTTCTTTAGTTTCTCAAGATTGTCTTCAATGCCGTTCTGATTCATCAGATCTAGTGTTAGATTAGGGTTCGAGATTTCCCCAATTTTCTCTGTTTCTCTTTTAGGGTTCTTGATTTCTCTTGGAGAGAGAAGAAACCCTTATCCATTTGCTTCTGATTTGGGTATGTAAGTTTGTAAATCTGTTCTTGAAAAGCTATTTGTCTGTAGGAATTAAGTTTTTTACAGATGGGTTGCTTTTCTTGCTTGAAATTTCACCCTAAAGTTGTTAAAGATTGCGATGGAGATTTGGCATCTAATGAGTTTTCAGGTTTAGTGACTGTTTTCCCATTATCATTATTGTTTTTATTGCTTAAATTTGATTCTCTTTTTTGGGTTTTTTGATGGGTTTGTTTGAAATTGCAGCTAATGCAAAGGGAAGAACATGTAAGGATGTTAGTGGTAAGATTATCAAGTTCTTGTAGATCTTTCATGGCAAATTCGTTAAAAAAATGTGTTTTGAATCATGGGGTTTTGTTGGAATTTATGTTTTTGGTGTGTAGATGACAAAGGTGCTGATTCTATCAGAGGAAAAGGTTCAGCATTGTGTGGTCAGAGGGCGAATGTGGCGCGAGGCTTTACGTTTCGTGAACTTGCTGCATCGACACAGAACTTCCGGGCTGCTAATTTGATAGGAGAAGGTGGATTCGGAAGTGTTTATAAGGGCCGGTTAGAATTCGGGAAGGTATAACTTGTTCGTGATTTACCTTGGTGTTTACTTGTAATTTCGAAAGATCTGAAACTATTAACGCATTCTAAACCGGTAAATGGATCTTGTATTCGTTACTTTTGGGCAAAATGCATTGAAAAACAACAAAGTTCGTTTAGTTACTAGTTATTTTTCAGTCAATCGACGTAACAAAGTTTCAAAGTTTCCTAATTTGTACTCAAAGTTTCAAAGTTCGTTTAGTTACTAGTTTATGGAAGGTTACCGGAAGTGGAAATCCACGACATCAGATGTTACAAATCTAGTTTGCAATCGTTTTGATTGGTATTTTCGCTGATCTTGTAACATTTGATGACGTACCTGTTCATGAAAGGGGTACATTCGATGATAATTTTGGCATTGATGATTGAAATTTTGGCACAGATAGTTGCTGTAAAACAGCTGAACCTGAATGGGCTTCAAGGGAATCAAGAATTTATCATGGAGGTGCTTATGTTGAGTCTTCTTCGGCATTCGAATCTCGTCACATTGATTGGTTACTGCACCGATGGAGATCAGAGACTCCTTGTCTACGAGTACATGCCCCGCGGTAGCCTGGAAGATCATCTTTTTGGTAGTTATTTCTTCATTTCGTTTTTCGATTACTTCAGTCATCAAGAAATGAAATTAAATCAAACTGTTTAGATGTTGGCCTTCTGCTGGTATGTGTGTGTGTGCATATATATATTATAGAGGGAGGTTCAAGAGAAAACCCAAAAAAATTGAAGAACTGAGGAACACCTTGATGACTGTTCATCTGAACCATATACACATGTGCATGCAAGTAATTGAGGCTGTTTCTACGCGTGCATGTGATGCACATGTGTATACCGAAACAATTACTTACAAGTTACTTGTATGTACATGTGCATACCGTATAGAGGCAAGGTCTGCTTACATTCTACTCCCCAGATCCTATGATTGTGTGGGATATACTAGGTTCATTTGGTTTTGTTTCATCAGTGTCGAGTCTTGTGATAGACTTGACCGGATGAATGTTCCTTTTTCAGATCTCAAGCGTAATCAGGAGCCGTTGGATTGGCCCACGAGACTAAAGATTGCCATTGGCGCAGCTCGTGGTCTTGAGTATCTTCATTGTGAAGCAAATCCACCCGTAATTTACCGTGATTTAAAGTCTTCAAACATATTGCTGGATAACGACTTCAATCCTAAGCTTTCGGACTTTGGGCTTGCTAAATTGGGTCCTGTAGGTGACAACACCCATGTGTCGACTCGAGTTATGGGTACCTACGGTTACTGTGCCCCCGATTATGCAATGAGCGGTAAATTGACTATAAAGTCCGATATATACAGCTTCGGTGTTGTGTTGCTCGAGCTGATTACCGGCCGTAAAGCAATTGACATGACTAAAAAATCTGGCGAACAGAATTTAGTTTCGTGGGTAAGTTATCGGTGGACTTCTTCGTGTTCATACTTCGTTAATTGTAGTAGGTAAAATGCAGCAAAATGATACGAAGTTTGATTTAGTTCCACTTTTCGTGCAGTCCCGACCGTTCTTGAGAGATCGGAAGAAGTTTGTCCAGTTAGCCGATCCTTTACTGCAAAACGGATTTTCTTCCCGTTGCATGCACCATGCAGTTGCCATAACCGCAATGTGTCTCCAAGAGCAAGCAAATTTTCGGCCGTTAATTGGTGACATCGTTGTTGCTCTCGAGTACTTAGCCTCTCAAACCGAAATCTCCGAAAACGTTAAGAATTCGAGTTTTGGATCTCAACCGCTCCTCAAAGGAAGACAGTGATCGTGTCGCTTGTGAGCAGGATTCGGAAATACCAATTTGTTAAAGATTTAGGGATCGGAAGATTCGGTTTGGGAATAGGAGCGATACGCAAGATTTACGCAAACAGTTAGGATTCGAAGAAGCCTGATGGGATGATTTCCTTTACTTCGAAGCATAAGGTATGCGATCTCGTTCGTCTTTTCGTTTATCGTTGCACACACAATTCCCAACGACAGATGAAAAGTATAACAATATGGATGTACGATATCTCAAATAGCTTTTTAACAAAGGCAAAATGCGTAAAATAGCAACCTACTTTTTTTGTTGAAATAATATCATCGATCTTTTTTTTATTATGGGGATGGTATTAAATTTGTAGTTGAGGGAAATATTTGCTGGAATCTTTACTCAACAAATAGAGCAAGGGGTTGTTTGTTTACCTCTTAATAGTTCCATTAAGAGGCAACCTCTGAATCGTTAAGAGGTGAATCTTGTTTGGCAAAAAAATGTTTGTCTCTTAATGGTTCTAAAACCCTTTGAATGATTTTGTATCCCGGATCTCCCTTAACCGTTAAGAGCCCTAATTTCATTGTACACAATTACCAAATAATTATATTTCATTTTGCATTATATCATGCGAGCATCACTTAATCATTCTGCATCAAACCATTCAGCAATTGCTTAACAGTCTCTAAGAAGTGATCATTTGCGGTAACTTGTTTTTTTTTGTCCAATGAGCTTAATATTGTAAACCCAAGCCTTTTTTTTGGACTTGACAACTTGTCATTACCCGCCCTATAAACGGGCCGGGTTTGCCCATGGGCTTACGGGTCTAAAAAGTGTAACTCCTAATTAACAAATGTGGAACTAAAAAATAAAGGAAAAATACCGTTTCAATTAAAACTTTAAGCAACTACTGATTCTATCTTTTGACATAAAGATGTAAAGAAAGATAATATAGAGCCCTTTTGGGTTATCAAGAAAACCTGAAGAGTTCCAATTTTCATTCTATAACTTTAATAATTTAATTTTGAAATATGCTAGTATAATTTTAATTAATGGTAAAAAAATAATAAATATAAAACATAAATGGGTCGGACGGGTCTGTCTATATTTATTTTTACATTGCTTATGTCTGTCTGTTAATTTTAACGAACAAACCCGAATCTGTTTATTTTCTCGGTAATGGTTGTTCAAACCCGTATTTCTAGCTGGCTGGATGGGTTGATTAACAGCTCTAAAATAGAGCTAAGTGATATGGAATTACTGATATACCCCCCAAAAAGATTTGATCTTTCTGCATGTTAAAGCTGGCATGAAGTTTACTAAGCTCCTTTTTGCTGGTGCAGGGATGAATGATGATATGCTTATGTCAATATATGATGTCTCAAGTGCCACACCACATATACATACATATATAATATATATATATATATACACTCACACACACACATATATATATATATATATATAGAGAGAGAGAGAGAGAGAGAGAGAGAAAAAGAAGGGAAAATGATGAAATTGTGGATATGGAGGTGCTGCCAAATTTGTGCTAATTAATTGTCATTTAATATTATGTAATTATTAAAGTTAAAATCTTGATTAGAGATGGATTGTATCAATGAACCCATCTTGATCTTATGGTTTTCTTTCATCTTTCTATATTCTAGTTAATTTATTGAAATTGATGATGTATTTTCACGTGATTGGTAATTAATATTAGTTGAAAATTATTAATTAATTTTAATTATACATTATAAATTAGTATTAATTATAAACTAGAAGGGTACTCGAGTAATGTAGTGAAATACATCTTGATTTTAATGTTTTATTTTATTCTTTGTCTTTGTTAATGTTACAATACGATTTTATGTGTTTTTTAAGAAAACAATAATGGTTTTATTTTTGAATATAATATCAATGTTAATATCAAATCAACAATTTAAAAGTTCTCATTTTTCATGTAATTTTTGTAATTTATGTTATTTATTATAATTTAATTTAGGTTTAATAATGAAATAATTTATTTTTGGTTTAATAATATAACATTTTATAAAGATAATAATTAAATATTCTGTTAGAATTTAATGATTATCCTAATTATATTTTAGATTTTTTATATTTAAAATGAGATGTTTATCTTGTATTTGATTATTTTTATCTGCAGTTAGTTACACTAATTCAGACATGGAGCTTTAATAAGTCGTATTTACGTACAATCTACTTGTAATATTGAGTTTTAAGTAACATGCATTAATAAACAATATTTTATGCATAAAAAATAGTTTTTAAGAGTTTTTGCTAAATGTTTTATAATATAGTATAGATATAGATTATATCAATTATTTTTATATTATTAGTTTTTTAATTATTGTTTAATATATATAGTTATCCAAATAGCAAATATAAGAATTCTAATAATCTTTACATAAGTTATAAAAAATTAAAGTTATACTTATTTTATTTTATACATAGTAAAATTATGTTAAATGATCTTAATAAAACATTTAGGGGTTGTTTGTTTACTTCTTAATAGTTCCATTATGAGACAATGTCTGAATCGTTAAGAGGTGAATCTTGTTTGGTAAAAAAAATCTGTCTTTTAATGGTTCTAAAACTCTCTGAATGATTTTGTATCTTGGATCTCCTTTAACCGTTAAGAGCCCACTTAATCACAACCGTTAATTAAAAAAATTAAAAGATTTAGATCAGTTAATACTGTTCACTTGAATAACAAATGATTATATATATCATATAATTTAACAAATCAACAATATTCTAAATTTTTCTCAAATTATGTAACGTTATGAACGTAACGGGTGCTCGATAATGTCACATACTGCTTTATGTGCTTGTACGTTGTGCAATAAAGTTTTAAGACTAATTTTGTATGTATCTTTTGATAAAAATATCAATCCCGTACAAGAAATTTATCAGTTTCCACTTAAATTTTAAATTGGATTTCGAGAAGACGTAATATATCTATACTATATTATAAAACATTTGATACAAACTCTTAAAAACCATTTTTAATGCATTATGTACTGTTTATTGATGTATATTACTTAAAATTCAAAATTTAAAGTAAATTGTGCGTAAGTACAACTTATTAAAGCTTCATGTTCGAATTCGTGTAACTTACTGTATATAAACATGATCAAATACATGATAAATATCTCATTTTAAATATAAAAAAACCTAAAATATAATCAGGATGATCATTAACTTCTAACATATTTACAAAAAAAAAAAGTTATATTATTAAACCGAAAGTAAATTACTTTTGGTTAAATCTAAATTAACTTACGATGAAAAAAAAATTGAATTAAACAAATTACACAAAAAACGAGAACTTTTGAATAGTTATTTTGATACTGATATCGATATATACTTTTTTTTCAAAATCTTATGAAATCTTCAAATTTATATTTCATTGAAACATAAAACTATTATCATTTTCTCAAGACCATAAAGAAGCAAATAATAAAACAAAACATTAAAATCTAAATGTATCTCACTGTATTACGCGAGTATCCTTCGATAGTCCCGTTATGAATACTAAACTTCTATTAGTTTACATTTTAGTCCCTCAAAATAATTACTTTCATTATTTACACTTCTAGTCCTTTATTATAATTCTTAATACAAAAAATGCCTCTATTTTAGGATGTTACATTACACGTTTCTTATGTAAAGTTTAAAACATTTAAGTATACAGATAACCTATTTTAGGATGTTACATTACACGTCCTTTATGCAAAGTTTAAAACATTTAAGTATCCAGGTAACAAGTTGAAAACTAATTTTAGATTAAAAAAAAATCAATATCAATAACCACATCAACAAATAAAACTGAGTTGGATACCCTCATCATTCGCCGGATCAACATGATACCGATTAATGCTTCAACCGATTACTTGGATACTTAAATATTTTAAACTTTACATTTTTTATACCAAAATGAAAGTTTTAAAAATATTTTACCCAAAATAAGAATTAAGTTAAAATACATTACTTCTTAATGCAATTTGCCATTTAACCTGTTAAGATATATATATATATATATATATATATA